TTCTTATTGTGCTTTGTCTCTTCGTGCCTCTGTAAAGGGTGACACTGAAGAGATCTCCTGCATCGTTTAACTTCTTTGCTCTCTCCCACATTCAGTCCTTACATGTTCTTTATCTATTTAGCAGTTACCTGGTGCCAACCTTTGTTATTAACTTACCATTATCTTTACTCTACGTAAGGAGCATGGTGTAGCAGTCTATGGGCTGGGCTGTTAACCACAAGGCCAGCAGTTTGAAAGCAGCAGCTACTCCAAAGAAGAAAGATAAGGCTTTCCCTTCTTTGAAAGATTTATAGACTAGGAAACCTGCAGAGGCTGTTCTACTTTGTCCTATAGGGTAGCTATGGGTTAGAATCAACTCCATGACAGTTAGGGAATGAGTTTACTCTAGTTAAAGGAACCCTACTGAGTGGGATACACACTAGGCTTCAAACCACAAGCTCAGTAGTTCAAAACCACTAGCCACTTTCTGGGAGAAAGATGAAGCTTTCTACTTCTATAAAGATTGACAGCCCCAGAAACTCCCAGAGGTTTTCCACTCTGTCCTAGAGGACCGGTTTGAATTGAGATCAACCCTATAGCAATGCGTTTTATTTCTGAGTGTTTAGTTAATGCTTAGGATTAAGATATGCATCTGATCTATGGAAGCCTGGATTAGGTGGACGAGATTGATAATACCTTGTCGAAAAGGTAAAATCCTGATTTATTCACTGCTGGAGATTAGAGGTGACAAGACCCCAGAAATTCACATGTAAAGATGGTACCTTAGAGATAAATATCACCTCTATTTCAAAAATGAAGCACAGTATCACCTGCTGAGACCTTAATAGTAGGGAGATTAAAATGGAAAGATCCGGAAATGGCAAGGCAGGAGAAATCTCTTCAGCTGTTGGAAACATACATGTGGAGCCAGAGGGGAATATTTATGATCTAGCTTTCAGAACTAAGACCTCATTAACCTCTGGTTTTCGTTTCACTTTGATCCACAATGGAAGCTGCAGTCAAGACATCAAATTGAACATTGCATTGCCCAAATTTGCTACAAACAAACAAACACACCCAAACCCAGCCCCACTGAGGTGTTGAAGAGCAAGGGTAGTCCTCTGAAAACTAAGATATGCCTGAACCCATGACTGAAGACCCAAGAATTAGGGTGTTGGTGAAGGACATCGAATATACTATGGATTGCCAGGGGAAAAAAAATCTATTTTGGCAGAAGTACAGCCAGAAGGTGCCTTAGAAGCATGGACCATGAGACATAGTCTGATACACTGTGGACACATCATCGGGAGGGAACAGTCCCCGGAAAAAGGACACCTTTCTTGGTGGAAGGTCAGTGAAAAAGAAGAGCCTTAAAGAAATGGCTGCGAAAGGGGGCTCACCCATCGAGCACGGTGTTTCCTTCAAGCAAGCCAGTGTTCCGGTTGCTGTACTAAGTGTCGGTTGCTGTACTAAGTGTCGCTGTGAGTCAGAGCCCACTCAATGGATGACACGGAACAACCACAATAATAAACTCTTCCAAAGCTTGGCAAGCCAGGGCTCAGGAAGATCCTAAGTCCTAAAATAACAAGTCTTAGAGATTTTTTCCCGAACACGGTGCACACAGATGTGTTCTCTACCACAAAGTCACTCGATCTCATTAAATATATACTTTCAGAGGCCTCTCTTGCTAGAAAACTGGGCTATGAATCCTGTTTGGGCTGTGTCCAAGCTACCTGATCACAAGTTACTTCCTCTCGAAACTTCTGCTTTATCAGTTCTATTATGAGAGTGCTCTGTATCCCGCAGGGCTATCTGGAAGATTAATAGCATTCACAACACTCAAATCAACAGCAAATGACTCTTCTGTAGCAAATGCTCAATACATTAACTCGACATGGGTGTGTGCATCTCAAGTTATCTCTAGTTTTAGGATTGCATCCATTGAGGTGGCTAAAGAGTCTTGGTCATGCAATGGTTAAGGATGGGGCTGCTAAGTAAAAAGTTGGGGGGTGGACCCCAACAGGAGCTCTGCAAGAGGGGGCAGCCTGGTGGTCTGCGCCCAGAAAGCTGCCC